CGCTTTAAAAACTAAACGACTATGTAGTATGGTGCACAGCCCATTTTTGAACATTGTGACCTAATAAGCTTGAAATAAGCATACCTATATTTTAAAAATATAAAATAGAATTAAAATTTTCTATTAACTACACTAAAAACAATTCATATAAATAAATATATTTTTAATCCAATTATTAATAATAAAAAATGCAATGAATATATTTATAGTTTGAAAAATATTAAATTTAATACTTTCTAATATTTTTTTTATTTTTTCTTTTACAATTTTTTTTTAATTTTTTTTATTTAACATTTATTTGTGTTTTAATTACACAAAAAAAAAAGAATTCTTAAATATACAATAACTATTTTGCAAAAACAGACTTTAAAATTTCAAACTTTAAACACAAAATCTACAAAAAGAAAACACGGCAAATGTCACAAAATAAAACTTAACAAAAAAAAATATTCTAAAAACTAAAATCCAAAAACTAACAAGCAACCAACAAAAATTGCCAATCAAAAAATAAAGGTCAATAGACAAAATGAAGGTCTCACACGTACAAAACGAACGTGCGTGTATACGCAATTTTTGAATAATTATGAAATGTTCATTTCCTATGCCGAATAAAACAACAACGAGAAAAAAAAACAATCTACAGAACAAAAAAAAACACAAAAGCTACAAACACGTACAACTACAAACAAACGCAAACCTATTACTTCGCTTGCTCGCCTAAAGCTTAAACAATAGCTCATATGCTGCCGCTGCGCACATAAAACAAAACTAAAAAAGAATTATAATAAGAAATAATTCAATCACAAAAAAACAACAACAAAATACACAAAACAGAAACAACAAAAACACATACAAAACTATACTATGCAATGGTAGACGCCAGCAACAACGTTGCATACGATAGCAACAACATATTTAGGGAAGGGAAAAAACAGTACAAAAGAGACAGGTTTGGAGTTCAAACATTTTAAATGCTTGGTAACCATAAAACTAAAGTAAAAAAATGTATTAACCTTGAACTTCAAAATTATTTCAATACATACTTTTTGTTGTTGCTGCTGCGGCTGTTGTTGGTGGTGTTGTGTTATTTTTTTTTTTTCATATGCGCATGTGTGACTGTGAACGAGGAGCATATGTTAAGTGGGGTGCAGACTATCATACTGGTATGTCATACGAGAGAGAAAAACGTCGTATGACACACAGGTATGATAGTCTGCCACCTTTGCCAACGTGTTGGCGTGCTCACCAAAATTTTGGTGAACAGCTCTCGCATACGCGTTCTGTATGATAGTCTGTCACCCTTAACGATTCATACGTCATACAAGAGCAGTTTTGCCTTGCAAATTTATTGTGAGCAGGTGATATATGTAAAATTTTAATATAAATTTAATATGTTTTTTATTATTTTATTATAAATGTATTTATTATTATTATATTTATTATTATTAAAATTACACTTATAAATTTGTGTTAAATATTTAATTGTATTTTAGTTAAAAAAAATATAAATTTTTACATAAAATTCTTATAAAAAATTAAAATACAATTAAATATTTTATGTAATATATTAAATATTTTATTTAATTTATTAAATATTTTATTTTCTTTTATTTTAATTTATAAACGATGATTATAAGTAAAATTTTTTTTAAAAAAACATCTAAATATAAACATAGTTAAATTTATGATCTAAGTCCAGTAATAAAAAAACATATTGAAAATTGGTCGTAATAACAATTAATTAATAACCTAAATTTAAGATATAATACTTTGTATTCTAAATATGCTTTTCTTTGTTAAAACTTGTTATTAAAATAAAAGAATTTTAAATGTTAATAACCTTTAACTAACAAAAATATGGAAATGATCAAATTTCTTGAAAAACAATGAAGATATATACATTCTTATGTATATATATATATACATTATTTGTATGATCTATTTATGAAAAATTTCTTAAGAAACTTTACAGGTAGTGAATGAAATTAACTACGGTTCTTTACTGATCTTTTCATTTTAACTACTGTGCTTAATTACCAATAAACCTAAAAAAAATATGAATATGGATGCAGATAAAGCATTTTTAGATGCTTTCATCGAATGTTAATAAAAGTAATCGCTGTTTGTGGGATGTCCAAAGCTGTGAATATAAAGATCGCAAAAAAAAAACGCGGCATATATAAAATATACAACATTATAATCAATAAGCAAAGCACAACCTATACGTTAACTATCAATTTTTTCAATTTTAAAATTTTATTTTAAACACACAAATTTTCACAGCACTACCCGCAAAAGCACTCTTCAAAAATTTTGCTTACTCTTGTGTGTCATACCTGTTCAAATTCGGTCGCTAGAAGAAATTTGAGCAAGAGAGAGCGCAACTCGTATGACACACCAGTATGATAGTCTGCACCCCACTTTAAGGGCAATGCGTGTGCGCGTGTGTGTGTGTTGCTTGCATTTGAACAGAATTTCGGCAATTTGATTAGGGCTTTGGGTACTCACAAAATGACAGCTGTAAAATTGATCAAATAAATATTTTTACTGATCAAAATAATGCAGGCTACACTGAGATTAGTTTTGATGTTAGGAATTTTATTCAAAGAGAAATAATTTTCATTTAAAATAACTAATCATTACTTAAAGAAGTAATAAAATCGATCAAATAATTATTTTTTTCTAATCAAAATAATGCAGACTGGACTGAGATTAGTTTTAATGTTGGAAATTTCATTTAAAATAAGTAATGATTACTTAAAGAAGTGATAAAATCGATCAAATAATTATTTTTTTCTAATCAAAATAATGCAGACTGGACTGAGATTAGTTTTAATGTTGGAAATTTCATTTACAGAGTAATAATTAAATACAAAAATAAAATTAATCCTAGCAAATATACTTTTAAATTAATATATTTAATGTTCAATAGATTTCATATCCTGTTTCTACTGACCCAGAGCATAATTTTAATAAAATAAGTGTGCAATGCTTTAAGCCACTTATAACCCAAACCACAACATGACGCAAGGACACACTGAAATCCATAGGCAGTTTGTTCCAATAAAAAAAATTTAAATAAAAACGAATTGATTGTAATGTTAGGAATATTAAGTTTCCTAACATAAGTAAGTTTAATAACTTTAAGTAAATTTAAGATAAAATGAACACTCTTAAAATATATTAATTGTGGACATAAAATCATTTATTCAAAATAATAAACAATTGAAAAAACAATATCGTATCCAAATACTTTTACTAATAAATTTCTTATATTAATTTTTTTTTTGTTGAAAACCTTCTGACCAAGTTTTACGGGAGTTACCTGTTTGCATGTGTGTATGCACATAACAGAGCCACAGCAGACAAGAAGTCAATGAACTCTTTAAGCGTGCTTGAAAGATAAACTCTGTGTGCGGACCAGAGAAAGACGTTGGTTGCAAAATTTTGCAGAAGTTTGAAATTTCAGACGCTAAGACGCGCGCAAAAAAAACTGTCTGCGTTGGCCTTAAAACGAGTAAGAATAATAAGAACAAGCACAAGAACAAGAAAAAGTTATTAAAATAAACAAGGATCACTTAAGTAGACATGCATGCATGCATGCATATACACATACACACAACTGCTGACAAGTAAGGGAAATACATATGTATAAAAAAAATCCCACTTCTCTATACATAAATCACAACGAAAAATAAAAACAAGCAGCAGCACCGCAACAACAACAACGACAACAATAACAACAATGGAAAATAAGACGCAGGGAGGCAAAAGAAATTGTTAACCTAATTCAAGGACGTCATTGAGACAATATTTTTAAAAATAAAATATAAGGGAATAGGGCAAACTACTTTACAAGGTTATACGACGGCAAGATAGCGCGAGTGTATGCATATACGAGCAAGCAGCAGGAAAAGGGTAACGCGCAGGCAAGCAAGCCAGCAGCAAGGAAACATGCATATAGGGAAGAACGTAAGTAATCAAGGCAGCCAGCACTTAGAACTCTCAGCGCAATCAGCAGAAAGCAAGCGAGCAAGAAAGCAAAGTACAAGTAATGAACAACCAAATAAGCACAGTCACTCAGTCACTGGGTACAACAGACGAAGCAAAGCAACAACAGCAGCAGTGGTAGTAGTAGTATTGATTAACAAAGAACCATGCAACAGAACAAATAGACATACATACATACACACATACATAAAGACAAATGAACAAGGAGACACAATATATAGAGCGAATGAACTTGAGTTGGCCATGGTATAGAATTCAATGCCAAATTGTGATCAGCAGCAGCAGCAGTAGTAGCGCGCAGTAAATACCTATGGTGGAAGAGTGTTGAAAGAGAGGAGAGTAGTGTACGATATAAGAAAGGATACTGAAATGAATACTGAATACTTTTGCTGCTTCGACATACCAAAAAGTACAGGTACATAAAGCAGTGCTGTATGTCCTTTATGATGTTTTACATTTCATATTAAAGGGGTTCCGTCATATGAAAATTAAATAAAATTAGGGGAATAATGGAAGAGCACCGATTTCAAAATTTAATTGCGTAGTTAAATTAAATTTATATCAAAATTCAAAAAAAAAATACATATATACAAATGAAAAATAATACTTATATAGATATACACTGATTACATTCAAAAAAGTATTCCAAGCACATCACTATATTATATTGATATGAAGAGGGTACCCTCTTCAAGTACTGAAGACACAATCGAAACAGGGGTTACACAAGTTCAATGTCAAACATGCGCGCATATTAACAGCCAACAGCCAACATTACGGCAATGCAATGGTAGACTAAATAAATCCAGACAGGTAAACAGCTTAGTGAATATAATCCTTTTGTCGCATAAGCTCAGTAGCGTTACCAAATAGATTTCCGGTAATTACAGCGCTTCTCCAACACGTGTGCGGCACGCTTTGTTGCAAAGCATGAAGTAATGCATTTTATCATTTCGCGATCGTTCCGCATGTGATATTATTTATTATGTTTAGGGTGTCCATGTGAAGCCTTGACTGTTTGGCTTGATATAGCAAAATTTAAATAAATTATAATGAAATAAGAAGTTAAGGCCTTTAATGGGGAATCATATTTTCATTACTTAATTTCATAATATGTTAGATTATACTGGCAATTCACTTTGATTTGAAGGTCCATATTGTCACTTTTGAGTTAAAATTCTAAAATATTACTATTAATAATACAAAACTTAAGTTATTTTTAAAGGTTTAAAGTAATAATCAACCATATACATCATTTCAATATACGTGAAATATTAATAAATAATTTTATATAGGCATAATTATATAAATTAGTATTGAAAGATTACAAAAACAAAATTTCAACTTACCTTACAGCCCTCACAAGAATGTACTCCATAATGAAAACCGGATGCCTTGTCACCACAAACTCGACATAAAACAGTTGTGCCATCAAATTCTGAAAAAAAATATTAATTAGATTTAAATAGATTTTAAAAGTATATAAAGTAAAAATAAAATATTGAGATGATAAAAAATTATTAAATGTTGAGTTAATAAACCAAATTTTAGTTGATGTATGTATGAAACATACACCATATAAAATAATATGCAATTTATTAAAAAAGTACTAAAATACAGTAAATACATTATTTGGATACCAAGTCATAGGCATATTAGACATCAGAATATCACGACGCCTTTAAGACAAATGAACTGCCATGCAATGGTGTAGTCATGATTTATAATACCTATTTTACAATAGATATAAATCTATGTTAAACTGTGCTTTCCAGAGAAAGGCACATATTAAAGAAATTAATGACTAAAATTGACCCAAGCCTAAAAAAATTTCGTTGTAGTAGAAGCCCTTAATAATAACTAAATCATAAGAAGAGACATCTTAAAACAAATTGCCTTTAAAACGCTAGAGACCCATAAATGATTTATTTTAAATTCATCACTAAATTTACATTATATAAAATAATATATAAATTGTGAAATATTAATTAAATTTTAGTTTATTAAAAAAAATTATATATATTAAATATTTTCATTTATATTTAAAAATGTTATAAGGGACTGAATTTATTGCAAAATATATATTAAATATTTTTAATTATAATAGATTTAAAAAATTATATTAATATAATTTTTTTACAAAATAAATTTATGACCTTTTAGTAATTTATCTTATTTATTAATTTAAATGAATATAAAACCAAAAAAATATACGAGTATATATAATAATGCTATTATAAATAACATTAAAATAAATTTATAAAGAATTATATTATAATTTAAAAAGATATAGTGTATTTATTTTTTAATGGGGTTACATTAAAAAATTCAGTATACTGAATTTATAAATTAAGAAAAAATAAAAATGTATAAAAAATAAAAATTATTAATTAAAAAATAAATTACAATATTAATGTTATTTAAAAACAAATAAATTTATAAAATATTTAATGAATTTCAAAAGAAAATTACATTCAATTTATTTTCAGTAAAAATTAATTTCCTTATTAAAAATAACATAAAATCAAAAAAAAAAAAATGAAAATTCATTATAAATTAAAAAATTATATTACCATTTTTTTTTAAACACAATTTGTAATGAATTTGTAAACAAATTAATATAAAAAATACTTCAGTACTATACTACAATTTGTTAAAAATAAGATATTAAAATAAAAATGAATTATTAATAATGTAAACTACAATTTCATTAAAACTTTTTAATTATTATTTAATTAATTAACTATGTATTAATTATTTTATTAATGCAATGTATAAAAATTAATATTTTTAACAAACATAAAAATTGAATCATTTTCTAAAAAGTATTCATAATCTACTATAATAATATTATTAATGAATATAAAAAACTTTTACTCTCTTGAAAGAAAGTCTTAAAGAAAGTCTACGGCTACATCTTAATTGCTTTCTTCTGAACAAGATCAAGATCACAAGAACAAGTAAATATGTCTGTTTATGGTACGAAGAAAGTAAAAAGCGAAATTGAAAAAAAAATTGTTGATGTTATAAAACAATCCGAACAACAACAATTCTGTTTACAAGCCGCTTTGTTTGGTTCTCTTATACTTATTACATAACTTTCACCGAAAGTAAGAAACAGCCAGCAAGCAGCGTTGAAGAAAGTTCGCGTGCTCGAGCACTTGCGGTAACAACAATAAAAATAATAAAAATAAAAAATTAAAAAAAATACTAGTGTTGCCATAAATACAACGCAGCAATGTTGTCAATTTATTCTTACGAAGAAAGTACAAAGCAAGATCTGTAAATATATGAAGTAAATAACACGGCGAAGAAAGCAGTCAAACTCGTTTTTACGTTGTCTCAATCGCCGAACAAATAAGCTTTGATATTTTAGTTGCCTTGTGAGAGTGTGTGTATGTATGTGTGTAATAACATTTGATTGCACTGACTGAATCAATGTTTTTATTGCTTTGTGTGCAATGAATACGTTTGTGTGAGCCTGTGTGTGTGTGCGTAAATAGTTTTGTGTGATTTTGTGTACGTTGAACTTGAAATTTCTTTTGCTTCACAATGCATTTTAGGAGTTTGTAATGAAAAAAACAATGAGTTTTTTTTTGCTTCAAATGCCAGCGTTGGCTTGTGAAAGTTTGTTGCTTTTGCAATGTAAAGCAGAGCCAAAAAAAAAAAAATATTACAGCAGAAAATGAATTTCATTTTGTAATAAGTCGTATGCATGTTTAAATAATACATGTTAACCTAGGTTCTGATATATGAATATAATATATGAATAATATATATATATTTAGTATTTAACAATTTCATTTTAGAAATAAAAGAATTAATTTTTTTTATCAGTAAGTATATACAGGGTGATTTCTAACTAAATATTTAAATAAATTGATACTTAGGAGTCCGTATCGAGATTTAATTTGATTATTTAATCAAATTTAACTACAATTATTTAATTTTTTTCTTTGCTATTCGAAATCCTCTGAATTTAAAAAAACAGCTTTTTTGTCATTATAAGAAAGCGTAGCTTATTCGAAAAAACTAATTAAACTTTAAAAGTTTAATTTTATTTAATTCAGAATTTTTTTTTTAGTGAATATGTACAGGATGTGATTAATTATTTATACATATATATAACTAAATATTTAAACAAATTGGTATTTAAGAAGTCCATGTCGATATAATAATGTTAAAAACAATTTCACCAACAATAATTTTAGTAAAAATTGCTCAATATTTTTCCAACATATTTTTTAAATAATATCATATATACCTTTTTAAATTAAATTAAACTATAAAAAATCTTATTAATTCAATTTTGCTTAATTAAATAAATTATTTAAGTTTGAACGAATTTAATTTGTTGTACATTAAAATTTAATTAATTTTTTTTTTTGTTAAAATAAAATTCAATTAAATTTATTTTCTTATTAAATTAAATTTATTTTTTTTAAATTTATTTCGCTTTAAAATTTTAATTTGGTTAAATTTATTTTATTATGAAATTTATTTCGCTTTAGAATTTGATTAAATTTATTTTGTTATTAAATAATTTTTTGTTTTAAAGACCAACAATTTTTGAATAATAATTTTGTTTTTAAACGATTTATTTGCTCAATAAAAAATAATGCACTTCATAAGAAAATAATACAAATAATATAAAATAAAATTATGATTATATTATATATTATAATAATTTAAAAAATTAAAATGCATAAAAAAATATTAAAATAAATAATATATAAAATTAATAATTCAAACAAAAATTTTATTTTTTATGACATTTTATTTGGACCAATATATTGACTATATTCTACATACAGAACAAAGTCATCTATAGGTTACTGTTATTAAATTAACTTTTATTTTATTTAAATTTATTTTTTCTATATTCTTCCAAACTTAATTTATATTTAATTAATATTTTTATTACATTACATTTTGTCTAATAACATTAAAAGTTTCTTATATTTATTTTATTTGCTTTTAACAGCTTCAAAGCCGATTAAAAATATAAATACTCATACATATGTATTTGCTTAGAGAAAATTAGAAATAAATGCAAAGAAAAAACTATAAAAAAGTTTGCATGTTCATGATCTTCACACGAAGTAGCCGGTATTTATTTTGCTATTTTACAACAACAAAATATGAATAGGAGTTAAATTTAGATGAAAACATAATAAAAAACAAAGAAATAAAAAAAAAACTACAATTTTGCTTTGGCACATGCAGTTTTGTTTGTGTGCATATGCATTCACATGTGCTTATGTTTTTATTAAGAGGCCAGTGACATTTGCACTGCAGATCATTGCACTTTTTTATAGTCACACAAACACACACACACACACACACAAGTGCACGTTCACAACTTATTTATGGCAAAAGCAAATGCAAAATATTGTACAATGACGTTGTAGCCGCAAATTTTTTTTTATTACTTATACGTCTACGTTCGGCTGTAACGAAGAAAATGACTATGGTATGTCGCTCTCCTGTAGGTATGCCATGTATGGCATATGGTGTAACCATTTAACAAACACCAATTATATCATTTTATAGGCAACGATCGAGTAAAGTGCGTTGCAAGTGCTTAGCAGTAAAAAAACGTCATCAGAAATCGTGTTTTGTTTTTAAAAAAATTCATTGCCTGGTTTTAGTTTTTATTTTATATTTTCAAATAAATACTAATTTATTTTGAAAATAATTTAAAATTGTAGTTGTTTAATTTTAAGTGTTGCTTTAATTGATTACAGTGCCAATAATTATTTTATATTGGTGTTTTCTTGCTTTCTAATTTTGTTGAAAGTGAAAATTTCATTTAATTTCGGATTTTCCGCAAGTAAAATATATAATATTAGTAAGTAAACAAAGTTTTGTCATATATTAAACTTTTGTTTATTTTTATTTGTTAATAATTTAAATTTTTTTTTTTTAAAAAATTGTATTTTATTTCAAAACAATAAAATTTTATTTTAATTATTTAAATATTTCATATATTTAATTATATTTAAGTTATTTATGACAACCATTTGCCGTGTGCCTTACTATGTGCATATTAAGTTGTAGTAAAATATGCCAACTTTGTGTGTGGATGCGACTTGACAAGTTGAAATTTGCCAAAGGCGAAAGCGTTTGTAATTTGGAGCAGAATATTGATTTGCTATAATAATTATTATGATATTTATAGTTTTTGTGTAATATTGTGTATATAATACAGTGAATACAGTTAAAAGCACACAATGTTTTTTAAAATTTTGTTTAAATAAAATTTACTAATTAACTGACATACACGATGCATGAGTTATTAGTTCCAAGAAAATATTTTCTGGATAAATGAAGTAATAGTGTGGTATTTTGAATTTTTTTAATTAAGAGATTAGAAAAATGTCTGATCTGGTATGTGAAAAATAAAGATTACGTAAAATTAGTCATATGAATATATAC